GCTGCCGTCGCCATGGCTAGCGTTTGTTAGGAGTCTGGGGCGTCTGGGGCTAGGCTGTTCATTGACCTCCTTTTACAGCAATGAGGTAGCGATACCATCTCCCTCCAGTCCACCTTAGGAAGAAAGGTTAGGAAATGGCCATTTGCATAGCCACCAGGTACTACTCAGAACTGAACGCAGCCTAATTGAGACTTCTGGTTTATTTTTTTCTCACCTTTTATTTTTTCTGAGCCCACTTAAATGTTCTGGGTTTTTGTTGTTTGCCTTATTTGTGGATGAACCTAGGAATGCTAGGTGAATTTCTTTTCTTTTCTTTCTTTCTTTTTTTGAGACAGTTTCTCAGTAGCTCTGGAATTTGCTCTGTAGATCAGAGCTGGTCTTGAACTACAGAGATCCACTTGCCTCTGCCTCCCAAGTGCCAAGATTAAAGGCGTGAGCCACCACTGCCTAGCTCTGTTTTTGCTCTTTTTTGTTTGTTTGTTTGTTTGTTTTGAGACAGGGTTTCTCTGTAGCTTTGGAGCCTGTCCTGGAACTAGCTCTTGTAGACCAGCTGGATTTGAACTCACGGAGATCCGCCTGCCTCTGCATCCTGAGTCCTGGGATTAAAGGCGGGCGCCACCATTGTCCAGCACAGAGGAATGTTTATCATTGAACTAACTACTCAGCCATAAATCTGGCTACCCTATACAGCTCAGTTTGGCAATCCTCCTGCCTCAACCTCTCACGTGCTAGGATTACAGGTATGAGCGACTATACCTGGTTCATAAAATGATTTTAATCATGATCTTTATGTTGGGTCATATTCATTCTTTCTCGTCCATTCCATCAATGTCTGTTGGGTGAAAGGTGGGCATGGTAGGGGCATGCTTGTAACGTAGGCAACTGGGAAGGCAGAAGCTAAGGAATTGTGTGAGACCTGCCTGGGCTAGGAGTATATAGTGAGGATATTAGGAAGTACAAAAGGGCCGGGTAGTGGTGGCGCACGCCTTTAATCCCAGCACTCGGGAGACAGAGGCAGGCGGATCTCTGGGAGTTTGAGGCCAGCCTGGTCTACAGAGCTAGTTCCAGGACAGGCACCAAAGCTACAGAGAAACCCTGTCTCGAAAACAAAAAAAAAAAAAAAAAAAAAGAAAAAAAAGAGCTTGTGTATATCTGGCTAACTTTGAACTTTTGATCCTTTTGTCTCTACCTCCTTTGTGCTGGAATTGTGCTCCATGGTGCCATTTGCAAAGTGATGGGGATCAACCCCTGGTTTCCAGTGTGCCAGGCAAGCAAGCACTCTACCAATGAGCTGCAGCCCCAGCCCAGAGAGATTTTTTTTAATGACCCCACTTGACTGTCCTATGGGTGGAGGGGGCAGTGAATGAATGCTTGGAGTTTGCTCAGCAAAATGTGGAAGTACATCTGCCTCCCTCGTTCAGAGCGCAAGGCTCCGAATAAGAGGGGTTTGGAGCAGAGCTCAGTGAGGGGGCACATGGAAGACCCTGGATTTATTTCCCAACATCACACATCTTTAGAAGACGACGGGCATTTCCAGGGCAGGTTGACTGGAATCTTCAGAGGCACTAAGTCTGGAATAAGCACGTGTCAGGAGAGTGAAAACGAGTGGGAAATACCCTATGTGGGCAGAGCCGAGGGCCTGACAAGAGGAAAGGACTGGAGGCCACTGGTGTTTTCAAAGTGTCTGTTTAGAGACAGGCTTCCTCTAGAGGAGGCTAGCCTGGCCTGGATGCTGGAATTGAAGGTGCGCGCACCACTTCAGGCATTCTGGTGCTTTTCCCGGTGTCCTGTTCAAAGCCAGTGTCCTTGGGCGTCTGAAAACGGAGGAGGAGCAGAATTTGGGTCATTCCCTCAGCTCCCTTGGCTGTTGTGTTAGCTCTTGTATGACCCTGTGTCACACTACTTACGTTTCATTTTCCTATCTGCAAAAAAGGAAGTAATTCTTGTTCCCTTGGGTTTTCTCATTTCGTCATCAAAAATGAATGAGTTAGGCCACGGAACACAAACAAAAGGGAAATATGTCATGTTTTGTAAGAGGCATCCATAAAAGTTGTGGAGTCTCTGGGCATCTTTATAAATGTAAAGGAAACATTTAAATGCGTTAATACTGCAGCCATAACAGGCTCATTCCTCCTTTAAGTCCCTCGGACTTAAAAACAAAATAACGAAAATGGGATGCGGTTAGCTTTCAATTACTTTGGCCGCTGATAATTCAATTTATGGATTACAGAGGATGAGAGCTGACTCATTTCACACGTCGTCATCAACTCTCCATGAAGTTTAAAAGGACAAAAGAAGAAAGCAGAATTGGGTAGCTTTCCGTGGTATTTCCATGTGTACGTGGGGAATTTCCTTTGAGACAGGGCTGGGTCGGGGCCAATAATAGCCGGTATCGCCTGACTGCTAATACCAAGCTGAAAAGGGGACTCCCCGAGCAATCTCTGATTAAACACAGCGGCCCCCTCCCACCCTAGCCGCGATCAGGAATTTTCCTTCTTCCTCCCTCCCTCTCAGAAGGGGCTGAGGCAGCATCTGGCATCAGAAAGCTAACATTTGTGTCGTGATTTTCTTTCTCGGGCACTCGGACTCGGGTGATTTCTGAAGGGATCAGGACCTACTGGTACCTTTAAAATTCTTTTTTTCTTTTCTTTCTTTCTTTCTTTTTTTTTTTTTTTTTTTTTTGGTGCCGTGACTCGGATACGAACCGAGGTTGCTGCGGTTTTTTTTATTTCTAAATTGAGAATCTTTATCATCGGCTTCTCGCAGCCCCGGTCTCCCGGGTCTCTGTAAGACGTGTAGCTCGCCCCCACTCTCCTCGCAGGCCTGTGACTCCTTCACTCCCTCGGTGTGCAAACGCCGGTGACTCACGTCTTACACAGCCTGCGCCCCCCCAAATCACAACCCCCACCCCAGGACCGAGCCCACAGCGCGCATCGTCACCCCGCCTCGGCAGCCTTGGAGGTCTCGGGGCTGAGTCACACAAGAGGACCACCCTGCTCGGCGTCCACACACTTGCACGCGGTCCCCCCGCACGGCCTCCGCGCCGGCCACACCAACGCCCTTCCACGGCTCGCAACTTGCTACGCTCAAGCGCCAGCGCTCGACCCCCTCTTCCCCCCACAAATCGCACCCCAAATCTCTGGGAAACCTAGAGCCAGCGGAGCTGGCCTCAGGCGGCCTTTGATGGCTTTGTTATTGTTTGGGTTTGAATCGATACGCCCCTCCCCATCCTTCCTCCCCGGCCGCGCGCGCCACCCAGCTCCCGCCTCCCCGCACGCCCAGCGCCCCTCCCCCTCCGTTTTGGCGCCTTTTCCTTCCCGCCACGTCGTGGCGGCGTTAGCGACCATTCTGACCGCGAGGCGCGGGGCGGGGCGGGGGCGGGGCCTGCGGCGCGTTATGCAGATGAAGTCACTCCCGGTTGGCTGGAGCGGCGACCGCGGGGGTGGGGCTGGGGGGGGAAAGGGGCGAAGCCGCCAGGGGGCGGAGCGGAGGGGGAGCGGCCCTGGTCCCGCCGCCTCCCCGCCCCCTCTCCGCCCTCAGCCGCCGCGCCAGCCGGGCTCCCCGCCTCGGCCTCCCGGAGAGGCCCCGCCCCGTCCCCGCCCGCCGCGCGCGCCCTCCCCGGCGGCGCGCTCCGCCCCTTTACTCCTGGCGGCGGGGCGAGCCGGGCGTCTGCAGCAGCGGCCGTGGTGGCGGAGGAGGCTGGAGGGGAGTCGGCAGTGCCGGCGGCGGGATCGGCAGTAGCAGCAGCAGCAGCAGCCACAGACAGCAGCAGCCCTGGGTCCCGCGGCGCCACTCGCCCCGCCGCCTCCCGCACTGCCTGACCCGGCCGGCGAGCCCGCCCGCCGCCAGCCCCGCCAGCGCCCTCGGTCGTCCTCTGACTCGCCCTCGGCCTTGCGCGCCAGCCGCAGCCCGAGCCGCAACGCCACCCGCAGTCTGAGCCCCGGCCGCCGGCGCAGCCCCAGCTCGCTCCGTCGCCGCTGCTGTTCGTCCCAGCACCGGCTCCGCACCGACACGCTGGAGGTGGGGATGCTCCTGTCTAAGATCAACTCCCTGGCCCACCTGCGCGCCGCGCCCTGCAACGACCTGCACGCTACCAAGCTGGCGCCGGGTGAGTGTCCCCACCCCACCCCGGGTGCGCGGGTCCGGGGGGGGGCGCCCGGGGACCCCTGCGTGGGCCTCGCGCTTAGTGTCCCGTGCCTCCTCCCTAGGCAAAGAGAAGGAGCCCCTGGAGTCGCAGTACCAGGTGGGCCCGCTGTTGGGCAGCGGTGGCTTTGGCTCTGTCTACTCGGGCATCCGCGTCGCCGACAACTTGCCGGTGAATGGGCACCCCGCCTTGGGGAGGGCGCGCGGGGGGATGCTTAAAACAGGAGAGGGAGAATCTGATGGAGACCCGGGGCTCTCTTCCAGGTGGCCATCAAGCACGTGGAGAAGGACCGGATTTCCGACTGGGGAGAATTGGTGAGTGAGTCTGAGCCGGCGACCCTCCGTCTGGGTGGGTGGGTGGTGACGGGCGTGCCGGAACCGGCGCGCTAACCCCTCGTCCTCACCCTTGCAGCCCAATGGCACCCGAGTGCCCATGGAAGTGGTCCTGCTGAAGAAGGTGAGCTGCGGCTTCTCGGGCGTCATTAGACTTCTGGACTGGTTCGAGAGGCCCGATAGTTTCGTGCTGATTCTGGAGAGGCCCGAGCCGGTACAAGACCTCTTCGACTTTATCACCGAACGGGGAGCCCTCCAGGAGGAGCTGGCTCGAAGCTTCTTCTGGCAGGTGCTGGAGGCCGTGCGGCATTGCCACAACTGCGGGGTTCTCCACCGCGACATCAAGGACGAGAACATCCTCATCGACCTGAACCGCGGCGAGCTCAAACTCATCGACTTCGGGTCGGGGGCGCTGCTCAAGGACACAGTCTACACGGACTTCGATGGTGAGCCAGGCCCCGGGGAGGGAGCTGCCCAAGGTGCCGGCCTGGAAGCCGCCGGCGGTCTCGGCTCCGGCCCTTTGTAAAGGTCATTGGGCTGCCGGGCTCACTGCTGGCAGGGGTGGGGCACAGGCGAGCTTCCCGACGTAGTACAGCCGGGGATTTCAAGCCGACTGAGCGAACCTGCAACATTTCTGGCGTGGTTGTAATTTTTTTTTAAAGTGGAATTTAGTAAATTCCATGCTTTCCCGACGAATACGAAGTCGTGGGCAGCCGGCTATAGCCCAGATTTCTAAAGTCTGACCCACTTTTCTCACCAGTGGAAGGAGGTGGAGCTGGTGGTGGCGGGAGACATTGACGCCGGTTTTGTAGTTTGTTTTGTTTTGGGGGAGAGTTTTAAGGTAGTTCTTAGAACTGCAGGGGTTTTTTGTTTTGTTTTTGAGGATTAGGGAATCAGCCGCGGTTTCACTATACTTAGGGGTGTTGTGGGGTGACGAAGCCTGGAATGAGTGTTGTGAAATTAGATCTGTTGCTGGTTTGAAAATTAGTTGGGTGTCTCCCGCAGGGAGACTGAAAACCTATCATAGGGAGGGGCTTGGATCGCGTTCTTTCAGAAAAGGAATGGAGGGATACTAGATCAAAAGCAAGAGGGTGGGTCGTGGTCTGAGTGGCTCACCCTAACAAACGACAGCCTTTCAAAACTCTGACTCTGGTTTGTGGTTTGGATTTCTTTGCCGGTGGAGGACGCTGGGTTGGGCTGCATTTTTTGTATTTAACAGTTAATGGCTGGCTGAGTTGTCCTCCCTTGTGTTTTTTTTTCTTCCCTCCCCCTGGGCAAGTCTTTGCTGCCCCCTGTTGAGCACCAGGAGGCTAGCACTTTTTTCTTTTTCTTTTTTTTTACTATCCAAAGTTTGTAAACAGGAATCACGTGGTCTGAAACCAGCCCTGCTACTCTGCCTTTCCCTTCTGGGGAGGAAAGAGTGTAGGTGTTGTGCTTTGCTTGTGCAGAACCGCCCCCCCTCCCCCCCAGGAAAGCTTCCCAAAGGGCACCCTGACTAGAGTCGGGTCTAGATGAGAATCTGATCTGACAGTCCTGGACAGGGTCTGTGCAGTTCAGGGCTGTCCCACTGTGAGTGAGTTTTACTACTGGCCAAGGCCCCAGACTTTAGCTTTTGAGTGACTGTTTGTTGGAGAGGGAGTTATATAAAGGATTTCAGTTTAGGGTTGAGGAAAAAAAACGTATTTTAAAGCTGGGTGCTGGTGGCTCTTGCCTTTAACCATAGCTCTCTAGGCCTGGCAGTCTGATCTCAAGGTCAGCGTGCTGAGGGAGTTCCTGCAGCACAGCCAGGGCAGCAGACACAGAAACCTTGTTTCAAAAAAAAAATTATTTTTTTTTTTCAAGAAGCTACTTGGACTAGTTTGCTTTGTTTATTTTTGCTAAGGCTGTTTTCTTTCAATTCCCTTGGCTTGCAGGAACCCGAGTGTACAGTCCTCCAGAGTGGATTCGCTATCATCGCTACCATGGCAGGTCCGCCGCCGTCTGGTCCCTGGGGATTCTGCTGTACGACATGGTCTGCGGAGATATCCCCTTTGAGCATGACGAAGAGATCGTCAAGGGTCAGGTGTTCTTCAGGCAGAGGGTCTCTTCAGGTAACTTCCACGAAACCCTGTGGTGGTCGACACTCACTGGGGATTATCATATTTGGAAGGCTGGTTTTGAGAAGGCTTCCCATTCTTGAGACAAGGGTTTCTCTGTAGCTTTGAAGCCTGTCCTGGAATTAGCTTTGTAGACTAGGTTGGTCTCAAACTCAGATCCTCCTGCCTCTCCCTCCCCAGTGCTGGGATTACAAGAGTGAACCACTAAACCTGGTACTTTGTAGAAGAAAGTATGGGGTTATGCCCTAGCTGTCATTTTGACTCATTTATTCATCTTCTTTTGAGGAGATGGGGCCACTAAGGAGGGCCCTGGCCTGCCTCTGATTTGATTTAGGAGACAGGGTTTAACTCAGAGTTCTGGTTGGTCTTGGAATCCTGTCTCGGCCCCTCCCCTTTTTCTTTCAGTTTTTGTTTTGGTCATGCTGGAATTGGAGCAGGTTTTATATACATCCCACCCAACCACCAGACCCTGTAAAGTTTAACTACCAGCGTGGACCTGATCTCTTAACAAAGTTTAGAGGAAAAAAAAAAGTCAAGGGCTGTTTAAGCCACCTCCCCTTAAGGCAATAACTCTCTAAGTATTGTGGTCCCCATGACCTCATCCTGAGTAGTGTCAGTGTTTGTAAGTTGGTAGATGAGTTGAATCACCTCATCTTGCTCGGTGGTGGCTCATCAAACCCTTGTCATCCTTCCTATTTCTGGTGAGTGGGTGTCGTGGGAAAGGCCCCAGCTATTTGAAGTTTGAAACCACAGGTTTAAGAGGGGAGCCAGTGTTTTTAACTGAAGGCAGACACAGGCTTTCGGTATTGGTCCTTTACCACTGAGAGGAGCCAGCAGTGTTCTGAACAGAGTCCATGCTTCTTTAAAAACCCAGACGTGAGGGCCTTGGGAAGACCTTTGCTTCTCAAAAACAAGTTGAGTGAGTCACCCTTAACCTCCCGTCTGTGCCTCCTCCTGCAGAGTGCCAGCATCTCATCAGATGGTGTCTGGCCCTGAGACCTTCAGATCGGCCATCCTTCGAAGAAATTCAGAACCATCCATGGATGCAGGATGTCCTCCTACCCCAGGCAACCGCCGAGATTCACCTGCGCAGCCTGTCGCCGGCGCCCAGCAAATAGCAGCCTTTCTATCAGATACTCTGGGCGGGACAGCTGTCTCTGGCTTCCAGGACCCTGCTTCATGCAGGGACAGCAATGACAACTCATTCCAGACTCCAGGTTCCTGGAGCAGCCTCCCACAGGGGAAAGAGATGCTACTTCATTTCCCAGGCCCCCATGCCCTCCCATAGACACTCTCACAGTGTCGAGTTTTGCTGGGCTCTGCAGAATCTTAGGGTGGGGGGTGGGAGTGGGTCAGAACCCTGCCATAGACCTTTAGTGACCAGGAGACTTCGGGTCACCAGGATGGGCTAAGGTAGGGGAAAAATATGTCGGGGATGGGATTTAAAAAAAAAAAAACTAGCACCATATATTTAAGTCCCTGTCACCTCTTCCAACTCCTCTGAGTGCCTTCTGTGGGGACTCCGGCTGTGCTGGGAGAAATACTTGAACTTGCCTCTTACCTGCTGCTTCTCCAAGAATCTGCCTGGGTTTGGTTCCCTACTCTTCCCTGTTTCCCCTCCCCCCACTTCCTGTGAAAGGTGCCGTGGAAGAGGCTGCAGGGCCAACTGCTGAGCCACCTGCCCTTTTTCTGCCTCCTTTAGTAAAACTCCCAAGTGAACTGGTCTTCCTTTTTGGTTTCTACTTAACTGTTTCAAAGCCAAGACCTCACACAGAATGCACAACCAATGCAACAACCAGACAAGCTGTAAATGTCTGTACAGTCGGCATGGTAGCCTGTGAAAGGATTGTAGTTGATGCAATTTAAGAAAAAAAATGCCTTTAAGTTATATTTTATGTGTTGGGGTTTTTTGTTTTGTTTCTGAAAGATGGCAGTTCTGGCCTGGAAGTCAATGTTAATGTATTTATTTATTTATTTATTTGGTTCCCTTCCTGTTCCAAGCTTCCACTGGCTATTGCCTAGGGCTTTATTGTCATGATCTGTTTTCTTTCTTTTATTTTTTTTCCCTCTTGACTTGGGGACCTTTTGGGGAGGGCTGCAATGCTTGCTGGGGTGAAGGGACTCCGGTGGGACAGCTGCTGTGGTCCCTTCTATGGGGGGCCCCTTGCCTGCTTACTGGAGTGGGTCTGGGCTCTGTCTGGGAAGGGGCATTGCTGACTGTACATAGATGGAAAGGCAGTTCTGGCCGGCATGATGTGCCTCCCGGATCCTGTTTGAGCAGCGTGTAGCCTGCTGGTTTTATCTGAGTGAAATACTGTACAGGGGAAAAGAGATCTTATTTTTTTTTTTATACTTGGCATTTTTTGAATAAAAACCTTTTGTCTTAACTTGTGTTTTCCGTTCATTCATACAAAGACGTATACTTGGTCCAGAGCCAGGTAGAAAGGGCATGGAATCTGATTTCCTGGTGGGACAACCAGTGTGCGATGGAATGCAGGCCTTCCCTGCCTGTGAGGCAATCTCTTCACTAAGGAAACAAGGCCCAAAACAAGGCCCCAAAGTTTGAGGATCATCACCCTTATAAAGCAGGTGCAGCCAAATTGTAGATGTTGGAAAAGACTCAGTTGGGACTAATTTTCCCCAACACGGCGTCATGTAAGGGACCAGCATTGAGCATTCTCTTGCTACCACTATCAAATGCTGGGATTACAGGCAGCACTTGTGGGTTGTATTTGCCTTGGCTGCCCTGAAACTCCTAGATCCTGCCTGTGCCTTCCCTAGTATTGGGATTAAAGGTGTGTGTAACCTTGCCGGCTACACTGGGATAGATTTTGAAGTCAGGTGGTAATCACCTGCCTAGCAGAATCACTTGAGTCCAGAAGCTGAAGATTAGCATAGGACAGATCTCAAAATACGCCAAATAGCAGGCATGCTGGTGTAAACCTATAACGCCAGCATTTGGAAATGGGAAGCTTCAGAATCAGGAGTTCAAGGTCAGCCTGGGATACGGGAGACCTCGTCTAGTTGAAGAGAGGACTAGCACCCTGCTGGACAGAACCAAAGTGCAAGGCCAGCCTGGGCTAGAGTTCCAAGACTACTTAGGTCCTTTCTCAAAAGGTGGTGAGGACACAGTGGAGATGGAGAGAGATGGCTCAACTTGGGGCAGCCACACAGTGGCTCCCAACCATCTGTAACCCCACTTCCAGAGGATCCAGCGCCCTCTTCTGGCCTCTAAGGGCACTAAGCACGCACATAAGTCTAGACACAAAAACATGCAGACAGCACCCAATAAAAAGAAAGCACTAGCCAGGTGGTGGTGGTGCACACCTTTAATCCCAGCACCCGGGAGGCAGAGGCAGGTGGATCTCTGTGAGTTCTAGGACAGCCTGGTCTACAAAGTGAGTTCCAGCACAGCTAGAGCTAAACAGTAAAACCCTGTTTTGAAAAACAAAAACATTTAAAAACAAACAAACAAACAACAGTGAAGCGTTTTGTTGTCCAGGAAGGCCTTGAACTCACAGCCACTTCCCCGTCTCAGCCTCCTGAGCTTTAGGACCACAAATTTGGGCCAAGGTGCTGGATTAGGGCTTGGGTTGGGTTCCTTCACCGTCAGTGAAGGAGTTGGACATTGACTGTGACTTGCTGCTACTGGCTTGCTGTAGGGTTTTGACAGCTTTTGTTATACTGGGAGATGGGACCCCCAATTTGCCTCACATGTGTGGTCTGAGTGTGTTCTAATATTTGAACCACTGCTGATTCATGTAAAGAATAAATGTTTTCTTTTTTTGAGACAAGATCTCATGTAGCCTAGGTTGACCTCAAATTGCCTAAATAGTCCAGGGTAGCCTTGAATTCCTGATTTCCCTGCAACTAGGATGAGCTTGGTTGCCATCACCACACCCAGGTGTAAACATTGCTTTTTTGTTTCTTTATGCTCATTGGTAACAGTTCCAACCTTCTAACCTCCCTGGGGGTCATCTTGACCCTTCTCTGTGTATCCATAACCTCTTGGGAACTTGGCCCCATGCACTTGTTTTTAGTGGAGAGTCCAGGCCACAGTGCCCTTCCTTGCATGAGATGCTGTCTGCTGCTTCATCTTGAACTAGGTCCCAAACCCCAGCACAGCCTCCACGCGGCTGCAGAAAGGAAGTATTTCTCAGTTCTTAGGGGGCTGATTTTCTGAAGTTCTCCTTTTTTCCTACCCCTCCATCCCTCCTCCTTCCTGTATACACACTGCCCGGCAGCTCCTGGACTCTAGGCACGGGTTGCATCCTTTCCAGTAACACTGCGAGTGAACAGATGAAAGTTGCTGGAAATTTCTGATGAAATCCGCCAGAACTTCACCCTTCTTGCCCTTGAAATGAGTTGGGGGCCTTTCGTTCAGCTGTTGAGATCGCTGGGGGAAAGACAGTGTCTGAAGGAAAACAAGGCGTTCTTAGGGTGGAAGAGGTCAGAGATCGGGAGATGGTAGATGGTTTGGTTTTCTCTCTCTTTTTATTTACTTGTTTTATTTTACTTATTTATTTATTTTTTTGAGACAAGGTTTCAATTCACTCTGTAGCCTCGGCTGGCCTGGACCTCTTTATGTAAATCAGGTTGGTCTCAAACTCACTGAGATCCTCTGCCCCCTGGAGGTCTAAATATAAAGATATGTGTCACCACATCCCACTTTTTTTTTTTTTTTTTTGAGCAGCATCTCATGCATTCCAGGCTGGATTTGAACCCTGGGATTACAGTGTGTCCAGCTGAGATTAAGGGCTCCTCGCTAGTCTTCTTGTCAGGGCAGTTTAGGAACAACAGTTAAGGACATCCCATGGGGAATCTTGGGGAATCAGCCTTGGACTCGGATTCTACTGTTATCCCTTACTCTTCACGACCTGGTGATATTTAATGGACCCAAGGAGGGACCAATGTGTAGAAAGAAGGACTTGGTTCTCCATTGGGGTATTGGAAAAAATGGTTAGAGCTGGGCAGTTGTGGCGCAGGCCTTTAATCCCAGCACTCAGGAGGCAGGGATAGGAGGATCTCTGTGAATTTGAGACCAGCCTGGTCTACAGAGTGAGTTCCAGGACAGCACCAAAGCTACAGAGAAACCCTGTCTCAAAAAAAAAAAAAAAAAAAAAAAAAAAAAATTAAAAAAATTTTAAAAAGGTTAGATATTATTGAGTATATGAACATGCATATCTCTCCTGCCAGTTCAGGACAGTAACAGGCGGGTCCCAGCACGGGGGTAGGGAGTCTGACTGTGGTTGTCACTTCTCTGGAGTAAGAAGGGGGTTGTGACCTGGGTGGGGACAGAGGCTCAGCTCTTTTGACACTGCCTTCTCTCCAAGAGGTGGAGACCAGAGTGTTTCTATCACTCTTGGTTTGTCCGGAATGCAGCGCAGGTTTTCAACGTTATGGGCTGTCAAGGAGGCAGGAGACGGGTGTGTGTGTGTGTGTGTGTGTGTGTGTGTGTGTGTATACACGACCGAAGAGATTGGAACGTCCCAAAGGGAAGCAGCGTTTCGCTGGCTTATTTTATTATATTGTTATTGTTATTAATACTTTGAGGCAGGGTCTCAGTATGTAGCACCGCCTGGGATCCGATGCCATGGTGGCGTGTGGAGGTCAGATGACAGCTTGCCAGAGTTTGCTGTCCTCCCACCATGTCGATCCCAGGCGCTCAGGCAAGCACTGTCACCCTTGGAGTCACCTCCTGCCCTTAAAGGATTTGGAGAAAGTCTAGGCCAGTTTAGGGGAGGCCGGGCTCCGTGCTGACGTCCCATATTCTCCCCACTTTACCTTGTGATGGGGGTTTTACCTGCCTGTGTCTGTCTGTGTACCGTGGGTGCTCCTGGTGCCTGAGGAGGCCGGAAGAGGATGGAGGAACCCCTGGGACTGGAGCTCCAGATAGCGGTGAGCTATCATGTGGGTTCTAGGAATTGAACCCAGGTCTTCGGGAAGAGCGGCCAGTGTTCTTAACCACTGAGCCATCTTTCCAGCCTCCCACTTGACGTTTTCATACCTGTTTCTAATATCTTTTCATTGTGTTTGCCTCATCCCCCTCTTCTCCTCTCACCCACTCCCAATGATAACCCTCCTCCCTTACTTAATACTTAATACTGACTTTATGAGACTGGGCTAGAGCTGAAAAGTAGCAGAGGGCGACCTTGAACTCCTGACCTTGTTCTAGTCCCCCTGGTACTGGGGCTACAGTGCCCCAGCACCTGGCCCGGGGGTTTACATTTGAAAGTGTAGTGAAGAACAGTTACCCCCAAACCCGTTGATCTGAGTTCAGCCACTAGGACCCAGGACCCCATGACGCAAGGAGAGAACCAAGTCCTCTAAATTATTCTCTGACCTTTTCATGTGTACTATGACATATGCCTCCATCAATAATAAAGTTAAAAAAAAAAAGAGTATTTTTTGTTTGTTGGTCTGTGTATCAGCCCTGGCTATCCTGGAACTCGTTCTGTAGACCAGGCTGGCCTTCAGTTCACAGAGATAGATCTGCCTGCTTCTGCCTCCTGAGTGCTGGGATTAAAGCCGTGTGCCTCTACTGCCCAGTTTAGGATAGTGTTTCTTGACGGTTGAGCTGTGTATGCCTAACCTCAGCATTTGGGAGGCCAAGAGAGAAGGATAGGAGTTCAGGATCATCTTTAGCTTATCCAGTTCAAGACCAGCCTGGTCTACATGATACTGTATCTATCTATTAGCCGGACACAATTTCCTTCTTGGTGGCGGGAATCGAACCCAAGTGGTGTTGCTGACAACTACGCATTTGAGTGATGGGTCACCCTAGGGCCCCGCGGGGCTCCAGGACATGGAGGTCAGAGCAGAGTTGGGGCAAGAACCCCATTCTGTGGAAACAGACATGCCCAGCACCTGTGTGTCCTGGGAGGGAGGAAGGGCTAGAGACCGCAAAGTAGGGGAGAAAGGGGCCAAGGGATGGGGGCGGGGTGGGGCAGGTCGCGTTTCTCGTAAGTGTTGCTCAGCTCCTTTAACGCTCCGCCGGTTCTTGGAAACCCTCACCACAAGGACCTATCGAGAGCAGTGTTGGAGCAGATATGGCCGCGCCCTCCCCCCACTTCATTTCCGCAGTGGCCTTGTGCTACTAACCCCGATTGCCAACAGCGAGGTTGCAGTGACCCCTCCGGTGGCTGTGAGAGGAAGTGGAAACAAAGCAGAACTGGGGCCAAGCCGAGAAGACCGTACCATTTTTATTTACTGTAATAGGACATCCGACGTGCAGAATTCCTGGCGGCCTTAGGTCTGGGATCCAGGCTCATGACCCACCTAAAGGCGGCTATAAATGCATTGTGTCAAATGGGTTGGTGCATCCAGCACCAAGCTCAAGAGCCTGCACTAAGCCAGCTAGGAATGGGGCTCGCGTGCCTACCTAGCG